CACTCACTCATTCACTTACTCGTTCACTCACTCACTCATTCACTCACTCATTCATTCACGCACTCATTCACTCACTCATTCACTTACTTGTTCACTCACTCACTCATTCACTCATTCACTCACTCATTCATTAATTCCAACAGTCTATAAAAGTAGCACTATATTGTGTTAGCTCTGCAGGGCAGAAGGACCCTTTAGTCACTTTCCGTGTAGCTTGAACACTTGGCAACTGTCACTCAACAGTTTCTCACATCCATTCAGAGTGATCAAAGAATATCTTAAATAAACTATTAGTTTGGGGTATAGATCCAACAGAAACATCTTCTAAATTCTGATTTATATGTCTTTTTGGAACCTTTTTGTCCTGTTTTGTTTTGTTTTTTCATAGAATGTCGGTGTGTAGCCCTGGCTGACCTGGAATTCATTTGTAGATCAGGCTAGCCTGAAACTCACAGGGACACAATTGCCTTTGTTTCCAGATGCTGCCGCCACTAAAAGTGTACGTCACCACAGCAGGACACTTCTTAGGGGGTTTCTACTATTGTATGTGTATATATGGATTTATGAAGGTAATATATGCACATTGTGAAATGTTTCAATCATGAAGACATGTGTGATACAGAGAGCAAGGATGCCCAGGGATTAGGAGCAGCCCTCTGTCACCTCCACACTAGGTCAGGCCACTATTTCCCTTCCTTTCTATGGACGGAACATTATACATGCTGTATTTTTACAGATGATTTAATGTAAAGTAGCATGAATCTTGTTCGAGAACTCAACTTTTTCTTCTGTGCATAATTAAGTGTATTTAAAATGTTTTAAAATAAATTATGAGTCATACCTCAGCCTTTCTTTACCAGTGAAATGAAATGTGATGTGTCAAACTTGAGTTAAATCCATAATCTCCCTGGATGTGCTTTTGACTTGCTTGTAAGGAAGGCAAACTGGAGGCAGCTTCGTGCGCCATATTGACATTCAACAATGAGAAGGTCAGAGTAAGGAGTGTTGCCAATATGTTCATCCCAAACTGCAATAAAGCTGTGCTAGCAATTGCAGTCCCAGCTGCCGTTTCCCTGCCCTCTGGGCTAGAAATGTGTCATTCAGACTCGCTACTCCCTGCTACAAATATGCCAGGCTTCCACAAAGGGCTGTTTTTAAATATCCTAGATTTTAGGTTTTGAAGACAAACATCCCCACACCAGTTAAGGGGTTTATTTGACAAAAAAAATGGAATAAGAGATAACAGATGAGCTTTCTTTCACATGAAAATTACCAAGTAATTTCACAGGATGTCCCCATGAGTATCATAAGGTGAGTTTAGCTCTCAGTTTGGTTTTCCAATGCTTTGCCAGAGATGGATCTTGAGGATGATCAACAGCCATTTTAAATATCAGATGTTGGAAAACTATCTATTCTCCTTCCCATTCCTGCTTACTTCCTTACTGCCAGGGACGGTAGACGTAAGTCACACTTAGAAACGTGTCGCGTCACTGTGACACCACACCTGGCCTACTCCATTTTCCCATCGGGGGACAAACTCAGAGTGGCTACAACCCACCTGCAACCCACCAGGATAGGAAGGGCCATTCAGTCCACGTGTTTGGCAACAAAATAAGCAAGAAAGCAAGGAAAGGTGGGGCTTTGAGATTCCACCCTGAACATCACTTCTTTATGGTAAATATCCCTCAGACAAATACTTATCAAAAAAAAATTAACCTTGTATTTCTACTTCTCCCAGGTGACACCAAAGCAGGTAATATAAGAATCATTTGGAAACAAATGGGGAAGGAATCCAAAAGAGGGGTCATGATCACCTCACCTGTTATGAGACTAATGTGTTTCAGGTCTGCCTTACCTTCCAAGTGTCAATCAAAACAGACAAACAAAAAATCTAATCCTATGAAAGTTGGAGAATTAAAAATTAAGACTTATTTCACAAGGTCGTTCCTATCTCTGTCGAGCATAACTCAGTTTGAAATGTATATTGGCTACCTATCCCCCGGTCTAAATGATTTCACAGAACAGCCTGCCAGAGGCCATTAGCATGCAGCCCGCACAAATGGAGAAGCAGTGTCCTTTCTCATTCACTAGCCTTCCTTCCAACCGGCATGTGCACCTCACTCAAGTCACTCAGCAGTCGGCAAGCGTCTTCACCCTCTGAGTCCTGGTCGCTGCCCCTCAGAATAAGGTCTGGGGACAACCTGAAGGCATATTCTGAGAAAGGAAGATGTCCGCTTTGGGTGTGCAATCACAAATGAGGACAGCACTTTAGTGCTGTTGGGGCGTGCTGCATTTTATTTGGGAAATGAGGGGAAAGAATCCTTCCATGATCAGCCACTCCATGTGACATCCCAGCCCACACTCTGCTACTGACATTTTATCTCCCACTGAACAGCCTGGCTGTTGTAACATTTTCAGGATTCTTAAATTATGTCTTGCAAGATCTAAAATCAGAAGGCAGGGACTTCAAGAAAATAACCAGTGTTGACAGGCACCTTTATATTTCAAGAAGCTGCTACACCTTAATGCTGCTAGAAGTTGGGGAACATTCTCTCCCACTTCTTCCAAAATATGTCCAGAAGATAGGAGGGGGGTAAGGACTGTCCGGAACCATTCAGTTTTCTTTTTCTAGATAAATCTAGGGACAAAAACCTTTTCTTCCACCCAATATTGCTAACAAGCTTATTATTTTTCCTTAGGACAAAGCGTTTCAGCATATGTTTAATCTAAAAGAAATTAGAGCAGTGGTTCTCAACCTGTGGGTCGTGACCCCTCAGGTCCCACATCAGATATCTTGTATATTCTTGTATATTGAATACTCAGTATTTACATTATGATTCAGAACAGTAGCAAAATTACAGTTATGAAGTAGAACCAAAATAATTTTATGTTTGAAGGTCACCACACCATGAGGAACTGTATTAAAGGATCACAGCATTAGAAAGGCTGAGAACCACTGAATTAGACCAATCAAGATGTGACCATGTTAACTAAGGAACTATGATAATTAAACTTCTTATTTATAGGCTAGTACTGTAGAAAAGTGAAAGGAACAACAGGCTAGGTCACAAACAGCATAAGCTTTATAATTTCCTGAATGGTTGAGTATCAGACCACGGACGAGGAAGACAGAGTAATGATGGCTTCTCCTTCAGGGAGGAGACAAATGAGGTTCCAAAAAGGGTCCCGATGAGGCTCAAATCATGCAGCCATGGAGACACTGGAACTCAAACTGAAAGTGCAATTTTTCTTTTAACATTATAACATGGCTTTGAAAAGGCGACTTGATTGGTTTACCATTAGAAGCTGCAGTTTTTGCTGTTCGTGGTATGGGAGCTGCCGAATAAAAAAACAGCATTATATCAAGTGTATACCTTGCTAGTGTATATCCTGGCTCTAGAGTGCTCAGCCTCGATCCTTGTCTTTGTGGAATGGACTTATATCTATTTATCTGTAATACAGTGCTTTAAGTACAGAATCTTGAGCCCGATGACTAACTTTGCCACTAATTGCTGACCTCAGCAAGTTGCTTCCTTTTACCGGGTCTTATTTTCCTGTGCTGTAAAAATAGAGATGGCCACAGTATCTACTTCATAGAGTTGTTGTGGAGATTCAACACATTTGTGGAAAAGTCTGTGTCGAGCTTAGCACAATCTATCCATTAGGCAACTTACATTTAAAATGTCGTATGCATAAACCTACAATGAGTGTGCCAAAACTTCTGCTTAGATGATAAAGCTAAAAGCTTGCTCCATCCCTGGAGAGTAAGAAATCAGTACACTCCTTTTATAAAGTTTTTGACACACAGTGGAAGCTAAAACTACCCCACACTGCACTGAGTGCTACGATAACCGTTAAGCTGGAACTGCACATCTTTCCAGCAGACGGTACAGATCTCACAAGTGTTTCCAGACCACTGCAGTTGTTTATCCCAAAGAACAGAGAGACAGGAAAGAGATGAGCATCCAATCCCCATAAACGCAGATGACAGTAAATTCTCGCTCAGAAAGTTGAAAATGTACACATAGGTGCCTTAAGTTTAGGTTAAGTGTATGCCCTCTGCACAAATCCAGTTAAGTTTCTCCCCCCCCCCCCCCCCCCGTCTCTGTCTCTTCTCTCCCTCTCCCTTTCCCTCTCTCCCTTTTCCTTTCTTGATATTCAGACAGGATTTAGCTTACAGGCGTTGTTGCACTCGCGTCCGGCTCCAAGAGGTAGTTCTTATATTAACTGAGGTGAAATTGCTAACAACTCTCAACAGATACTAACTCTCAACTGGTGCTGGACCTGGACCCAGAATCCAGACCCCGCCCCAGTGCCAGGTCCCTCCCTAGTACCAGGCCCCACCCCAGCGCAGACCACGCCCCCGTGCCAGACCCCGCCCCAGAGCCAGGCCCGACCTAGAACCCGCCCTGTCTTTCTGTGGTGCTCTCGGCTGCTGGCTTGGTCCACAGGACGCTTGCGCATTTATCAAGGCGTCTTGGAACTGCCCTTCTTTAAAGTAGCAACAAAGAGACGCCTGAGTTTTAGAAAAGCCTCAACACGGCCTCTTTTCGTGTTCTTTTAGAGGTCTTTTTTGTTTCACTGTCTTGAGAAAGTAGTTTGTTTCCTTGACATGGTTTAAGAGAACATGTTTTCAGTCAGGCGCTTCCTGGACAGTCTGCATCCTGGCTCAGGGTCCCTACGCCAAGCTTTGGGCGGGCCAAAAAGGAAGCGGGGTCCTTCTCTAGGGCGGTCGCACAGGCAGTGGCTGTGTGAAGCCGGGCTCAGGCAAAATGTACTACAAGTTTAGCGGTTTCACGCAGAAGTTGGCTGGAGCTTGGGCTTCGGAAGCCTATAGTCCGCAGGTACGAGTTGTACCGCGCCGCCTCTGGCGGGAGAACGGCGTCCCGAGGCAGGCAGTCGCGGAGTCCGAGCCGGAAGAAGCTTCTGCCGGCCGATCGGTTCGGTTTGCTGGTGTCTCCTGGTACTTTGCCACACTGCCTTGTCTCTAAGGCATCTCTGTTGTAGTCCACTCTAGGCAAGGTTTGCATGGCACAGAAGTTCGGTCTGATACCCTGATTGAATCAAGGTGACCCCTGGGGTGGCTGCCTGTTTAAGGTGGATTTTTCGAGAAAGTCTGTGGTGCACAGAATGTAACTTGAATTCGTGTTTCAGCTCTCCCTTGTTGATGTGGTCTTTGTGGCTCCCTTTTGTTACCAAATGGAAGAAATGGAAGGGCGGGATTGAGACTCTTGCTTGTAAGGCGGATTTCTTCTGTACAAGGGAAAGCGTGGGAAGTTACACGCAAAGAGGCTTACACTTTCATTAATTACTAAGTAACAGTCTTTGACCATTGGCCGAACTGACATTCAGGTCCTACTTAGAGCTGACCAATGCTGTTTCCTTCTTCAGCCTCGGTGTTGCGAAAATGTGGTAGTTTAGAGCTCCATTCACATTGGGTTAGTGCTGAATTTAGCAGCCTTAGTTTTGTGACTTGTAACTTTTTGTGGTGAGCCCTTTTTGATTCCGGGCAGCATTGATTTGAGTTAAGTGCGGTATGTGTCAAGAGAGCAGCCTTTTTGGCAGATGGTGCTGGATACATGCTATATATTCTCCAGAAGCTGACGCTGAATCATTGCTCAGAGTAGCGCGAGAAAGCTTGGTGGAACACGAAGCTGGAAAACCTTGATTAGAGTAGTAAGTGACCCGTCTAGGCTGTAAAGAAAATACTCCGTTATTATTGCCTCTTTTCTCCCCCTGTGGAGCACTGCATTGGTTAGGGGGAGAGAGCTAAAGCATGGCTTCAATACAAGATTAGATGTACTTTCAGGATAAAGGAGGCCAAGAAGGGCAGAATTTACTTTTAGGGGAGAGCGAGGAAGAAGAGTCTTCAGCTTCTGATGCTATGTCGTGTCTGGTGGCAGCTGAGTTTATGAATATGTCTGTTTCAGCCCATGTTTGGTGGGTAGTAGAAGGAGAGATCATTCAGGAAGTACATAAGGAAGAAAGAGACTGTCTTTCCATTACAGACAAGTGACAGGAAATGAGGAACAGTCCAAGGTCGGAAGGGGAGCTAGTGTGGTGTCAACTGAAATCCAGTGTAATGAGTTGTAAGGGAAGAGTTGCCTGTACGTGATCCATTTCTTGTACAAAAGATGTAGCGAAGTGCTATTTTCATTGTATCTTCTTCTATAGTGTGCTTTCAGAGCACAGATCATGGTTAGGGAGATTTTGGCATGCATATGCCATGTAACCCACTCCTTTATTAGTGTGCAGATCATTAATCATATCACCTTTAGGAAGGTTTCACATATTCTCTCCCTATTAGAAATCCCTATCTGCCTTCCCATTTTGGCGTTTATCGCTGTAAATAGTTTTGAGCCCTTTGTAAACCCCACAACATGTACCCTCCTGTGTAAGGCTGATTTTAATTGTACTTTTGAGGTTCCTTCCGCTAGCATTCAGGCATTTACACTGTTCTGCTCTCAGGTCTTAGCAGGACTCAGCAGCAGCAGCACTGTGGCTGATGGAGCCACTAGTGGAACACTCTCGCTGTGCACACACTATATCCCCTACAAAAGGCGAGCCTTTCCCTCCCCACTCTTTCCTTCTGCTCCTCCCCCCCAGTAAACTTCCCACGTAAGTTCTGTGACTTTGTGGTACCCTTTGACTCCAACCCACCAAGGTTGCCTCCCCGCTGGTGCTAAACTGTTAAACCTCACGCTACGTATATGAGTGTTTCATCTTATAAATATGTCACTCTCTTGTAGTGGTTGTAGATATGGTTGTTAAAATATTTTATTTTTTATATGTAAGGGTGTTTTTATCTACATGTAAGTCTGTGTTCCTTGTGATTGCTTGGGGCCTGCAGAAACCAAATCCCCTGGAACCAGACTTAGAGACAATTGTGAACCACTGTGTGGGTGCTGGGAATTGAACTTGGGTCCGCTCCAAGAGCAGCAGTGCTCTTAACCGCTGCACCATCTCTCTAGCCCTGTAGATAGGCCGTTAATAGAGCTAGCTATAGCATGTACCCTATTGTTTCAAAGGACAGAGTAAAAATTCTCTAAGTGGCACTGAAATAAATTGACACCCAGAGCAGGGATTACCTAAAGGTATTACCTAAAGGTGATATAGACAGGACTTTCAGAGTTTTTGGTATCCCTTGAATTAGATTTCACTCTAGTACTAGAATTTCTAAGTTACTTAAAGCTTCTATTTTTATAGTTCTGGGTATCGAACCCAGGGCCAGACAAGTGCTTTGCCATTGAGCTGCATCTCCAGCTCATTTAAAGTTTTCTTAGGCCACGTTGAAAGAGGCAGTTTTGGGTAGGCAGTATATGAATTGTGGATTCAGAGTGACTGTGGGGCACACGACCACAGATAGTGCTAGGGAAACCAGGAGTGGAAAACTGGCAGGTGTTTCTCTTCAGTAAAAGGGTTTACACCCATTTCTGCCCAGAAAGCTGGGAATGAATGTAGTTAGTAACCTGGTGATCCTTTGTTATCTGCAGGGCCAGGCTTCGCCTGAATCCCCCAGGCTATTAGGCTTATCCCAGACTTCTGGGCATTATTTCTCAGTCAGTGGAACCCATTCTTGTAGAAGAGGTCATAGGTACTTTGCAAAAGACATGCAGTCATGCCTTAATCTTTGTTGTGATAATTGTCACGTGGAAACTTTCCCAAAGTTGTTCTGTGCTTAAATATGTCAAAAGTAAACTGCTTGGGTCAGACTCCGCACCAGCTAAGTGGTGTTGAGCCACATTTCCTTCTTGCCTCACTCTGATAGCTCCTCGGCCTGCTGGAGCATTTGCAGGAACCCCCGACAAGCTACTGCCCCCAACGTGGTGTTCTGATTCTGATAATTAGTAGCATTTTATCTTCCTTTTGTGTCCACAGTGCACTGTAAGATGAAAATGTTTGTACCATTCAGTGTTACATAAAGTGAATAAGTAGCAAGCATTAAATGACCAAATATGGAAATGCTGCTTGTGTAACAATAGCACAGAGATTTGTAAGTCAACTTGATGGCAACTAATTGTTGGGGGCGTATTTTATAGTGGCTGATTAAAAAGCATTCATCTTTCATTTTTGTGATGTGTGCCACAAATAAGTTGAGGCATGTGAAAAAGTACTTGACATTACTAGTCAGTCATTAAGGAAAATCAAAATCAGTACTACTTCGTGTCTGCCGGAATGCCTGTAGTCGAAGACAGACAACAGCTTGTAGAAGTGAACATAGGGAAACCGGAAGCCTACTGCATTGCTGGAGAGAATTTAAAATGGCGCAGCCACTTTGGAATGCAGTTTGGTAGTGTCTTAGTTAGGGTGTTGATTGCTGTGAAAAGACCATGGCCAGAAGCAGCCTGGGGAGGACAGGTTTACCTTTGTCTTCAAGCTCTCCAGTCACACTCCGCCACTGAGTGAAGTCAGAGCAGGACTGAGGCAGAGCCATAGCGCAGTGGTTCTCAGCCTTCCTAACACTGCCACCCTTTAATACAGTTCCTCGTGCTGTGGTGACCCCAACCACCGAATTGTTGCATTGCTACTTTAACTGTAATTTTGCTACTGTTAGGAATCATAATGTAAATATTTGTGTTTTCAGATGGCCTTTGGCGACCCCTGTGAAAGGGATGTTTGCCCTCCAAAGAGGTTGTGACCTGCAGGTTGAGAACCGCTACCACAGAAGAACACTGCTTTCTAGCTTATTCCTACCTCATGGTTTGTTCAGTCTGCTTTTTTTATAGCACCAGGACTACCACCCCAGGAGTGGCACCACCCACAGGCCAATGTTGGGGCATTTTCTCCAGAGGCCCGCTTCCCTGATAACTCCAGCTTGCGTGAAGTTGACGCAAGATTAGCTAGCATAAGTAGTTTCCTAAGGGGCAAAGCAGGATTTTACTATATGACCCAGCAATGGTAGTTAAGAAGCTAGAATGATAGTCTAGGTGTAGGGAAGGGGGGGGGCTGTTGAGTAAGTTTGACTGGAGGTGAATCATGAAGGCCTATGATAAAATAACTACACTTTATAAGAAACTAATAAGAGGGGGCTGGAGAGATGGCTCAGTGGTTAAAAGCATTACCTGCTCTTCCAAAGGTCCTGAGTTCAATTCCCAGCAACCACATGGTGGCTCACAACCATCTGTAATGCGGCCTGGTGCCCTCTTCAGGCATGCACATAGGTAGGATATTGTATACATAATAAATAAATACATAAAATAGATTGAAAAAAAAAACTAATAAGAGATGGGATGCAGAAAGTTGGGGTAGAATATGTCTCTTATTGATGAGTGGCATCCTGGGGGTGAGGAAGGCGTATTCGAGGCGACATGTGAATGGGCATGCTTTCCCTGGAGACCAGGAGCTCCCGAGTGGGTTGATAGTGATTTTGAGGCATTTGGAGTGTGAGGTGGCAAAGGGACATGGTGAGGATGTCCAGCTTCAGTTAGATAGGATTTGAGCCACTGAAGATTTCATAAATCAGAGGTGAGCAGATTGATAGGTTTCTAACATTTAAAACTGGGTTTTTAAAATTTATTTGTGTGTGAGTGTTTTGCCTGCGTGGATGTATGTATATCACATACATGTCTAGTGCCCACAGAAGTCAGAAGGCGGCCTAGAATCCCCTGGAACTGGAGTTAAAAGTATGGTTGTGAGCCACTATACCGGTCCTCAGCCAGAACAACTGCCTTTAACAACTGAGCCTTCTCTTGAGCTCCCCAATAAAAACGTTTTTTTTTTTTAAATGGAGATAATTTTTTATCTCCACCTGCCTCAGTCCTAAAAACTAAAAGAAAATGCTGAACCTATCAGTTTCAGGAGGAAAATCAGGTTTACTTTGCCTTTAAGTCTTTCAGCTGGTGGCTGGGGAGGTGACTAACCCATTAGCACTCGCTCTTTCAGGGACCTAAGTGTGGCTGTCAGTACCCAAGTCCTCTGGCTTACTGCCTGTGACTCCAGCTTCAAGGGATGTGATGCTGTCTTCTGGTGTCAGACACCTGCATTCACACATACACGGATGTGCCACCTCTGCCTCCATTCACACACACAATATGCATAATTTAAAAATAAATCTTTTTTTTTTTAATGTGAGCTGGACAGGCTGTACAGCAGCACTGCCAAACCTGACTGCTCACACTGTACTTAATAAACCTGTTTCCTTTCTTTAACAAGTGAACCCTGTGACCTGGCACAGTGGTGTAATCCCAGCATGGGAGGTAGAAGCAGAGGGGCAGGAGTTCAAGCTCATCCTTAGCTACAGAGTAGGTTCTAGGCCAGCTTGAGCTTCATGAGACCCTGTGTTAAACGAAACACAATTTGGAGCACTTAGAGGCTGGAGGGGCAAGATCAAGCCCTTGTTTAGCATTCTGTGGCCCTGTCTTCAGTCTCCAGGACACATTCCTTCTTTGGACTTTAGCAATTAAAACAGGAAGAATTTAAGTGTGTAAACTGTTGAGAGGTAGGGTTATGTACAGTCAGTATTAAACAGTAAAGCCTGGTTTCGCTTAGGTTAGAGAATCTTTCAGGTGTTTCCCCCTTGCTGCAGGAGTGGAGGCTCTGCCATCACTTTCCAGTTCGTAGGCTTCAGTTAGGAGTCTACTTTTTGTTGAAACTAGCCCTCGTTAGTGCAGTTATGTGTTCAGCAAGTGGGTATGGAAGATGCTGTCTGTTAGTCTTGGGAATATGATCAGTGACGGAAACATGCTAAAATCCTCTTATGGGACTTCTGTTGCACAAGGGGGAAGACAGCAAATAAAGAGGGATGTAGCATGTTGGGTGGCTGAGTGCTGTGGAGAAGGAGGCATGAATGAGGCTACTGGGCTGACTTGTTTGCAGGGTTGGGAGGGGTGCGCACAGTAAAAGGGCCATTAGAGCCGGGTGTGGTGCTATAATCCTATCACTTGGGAGGCAGAGGTAATAGAATCAAGAGTTAAGGGCAGCCTGGGCTACAGGTGAGTTAAGGGCCAGCTCATGATACATAAACCTGGCTTAAGCAGCCAAAAGAGTGTTTTGGAAATGTTTCCCAGGGGTGATGAAAATACAAGCCAAGCCATGTAGAAATCTGAAAACCATTCCAGGCAAAAAAATATGCTTGGAGTCCGAGAGGTTTATAGGGGGATGGGGTTGGGTGGGCTTAAGGAGCAGGAAGGGACTGAAATAGGAGACTGAAGAGAAGGGTGTGAACCCTAAAGCTTTTAGAACTTGGGGTTTGGTTCTGGTGGAGCTTGAGTCTCCGGAGTGACTAAGAGACAATAATTCCAAGATCTGGAGCAGCTGAGAGCACTGGCTGTCCTTCAGGGGATTCCTTGCCCTTTTCTGGTGGCAGTCACGGGCACAGGCATGCGCTTGTAAGCCGCTTCCTGGTCTAGCAGCTTTCCGGAAGCCCAGTGCTCCTTTACTGTCTGCCTGGAAACACGGGGGCTGTTGGTTCCTTTAACACTGCTTGGTGATTTATCGCGATGACAGTGAGATGAGGCACCATCATATCCATTCTTTTTATCCGAGGGCCAACAAACTGCGTTAGCAATGGACAGTGTAGTAAAAACAGCTGAGCTCCACTGGGGAGAATGCACAGCTCGTAAGAATTGATAGTAACATTAACAGCCTATGCTCTGAATTTTTACAGTGAATATATGAAATCGCTTAGAGCTGTCGTGGTGACTGATTCTTGTGCGTGTCTGGTGTAGAGCGAGTGAGGGTCATGCCTGTTGAATGAGTGACCACGCTACCCTAGACAGCCCTTCCTGTAGCAGACCAGCTGTACTTCAGTGCCTTTGTTGGTAGGTTTTGGTTTAGAATTAATGCCTGGTTGGTGGGGGCAGCATTAATGTTTCATTAAATATATTTTCATAATTCATTCTTATCCTCCCTCTGTATTGATTTTAGATATCTGATCTTTAGATCTTGTCAGTTACAGATAAATTTCTCTGAGAAGTAAGAACTCCAATGACTGCAAAGGTCAGACTTGAAACTTCTTCCAAACACAGAATTCTAATTTTCCTAGGTAGAATTTAAGGAAATGATTTTACTGGCTTGTAATTCTTAATCTTAAACTTTAGTATCCATACTGTCTGTGTGTGTTGCTTAGCAGCGTTGTACCTTCAGATAAAAATTACAGAGTTCCCTCGGTTTGGGGTTTGTTTGTTTGGGGTGCTGGGGCCGCACATGTTAAGCAGGCACTTTGATATAAGCTACACCCTCAGCCTGCCCTTAGGTTCTTTAAAAAAAAATGCCTTTAATCCCAGGGAGGCAGAGGCCAGCCTGGTCGTTTATGGAGAGTTCCAAGGCTACAAAGAGAAAACCCTGTGAAAAACCAAACCAAAACAACAAGGCAGCCTTTTATTCTAGCACTCAGGAATGGTGGCATGTGCCTTTGTCCCATCCCTTGGGTGGAAGAGGCAGGTGAATCTCTGTAAGTTTGAGGTCAGCTTGGATTATACAGCAGATTCCAGGCCACCCTGTCTAAAAAAGAAAGAAAGAAAGGAAGGAAGGAAGGAAGGAAGGAAGGAAGGAAGGAAGGAAGGAAGGAAGGAAAGAAAAAGAGAGGTTTCTGTTTGTTTGTTTGGTTTGTTTTGTTTTGTTTTTTATTTGGGTGCCTGTAGAATCGAGAGAAGTCAGGTCCCCTCAGGGTTGAGCCACCCTGCATTGAGTGCTAGGAACTGAACTTGTGTCCTCTGCAAGAGCAGCACATGCTTTTAATGGCTGAGCCTTCTTTCCAGCCCCTGTAGTTAATTTTAGAGTAATTGTATAACTTTAAAAAGAGAGCTGTCCTCCTCAGCTAGCACCCTCTCACACTCTGCTGTAAGCAGCCAGTAACTATTGCTAGAATTCTATTCCGCACTGCTATTAATGAAATCGTATAAAGTGTAGCCTTTTGCATCAGAATTTTCTCTCTCTCTCTCTCTCTCTGTGTGTGTGTGTGTGTGTGTGTGTGTGTGTGTGTGTGTGTGGCCAAAGTCAGCCTAGTTCTTAGGAGCACACCCCACCTTATACATAGCACTGGGGCCTGAGCTCAGCCCTTCATACAAGAACAAGCGCTTTATGGACACAGTGCTTCTTGAAGCTCACCTTGGGCCTTGCTTGTCCTTCCTGGTAGAGTTCTTGATAGTTTGCTGTGAGAAAGCAGATAAGGGTGTTTTGTCAGAGGGTTGAGAACTGCCCAAAGGCCTCATAATGCAAGTGATAGAGACCCTCTTCCTTCCCTTATACACAGCAGTGCTGTGTCTGCTATCCCAGCCAGCCTGCCTTCGGAAATAGCTCAGCTGCCCAGACATACTCAGGGCTTGCTGTTGTCTTTTGCTTTTCTGCAGGGGTTAAGGCCAGTGGTTTCCACAGAAGCACCGCCTATCATATTCGCCACACCGACTAAGCTGACCTCCACTGTGACGGCGTATGACTATGCAGGGAAGAACAAAGTTCCAGAGCTGCAGAAGTTCTTCCAGGTGAGCGAAGACCGCAGCAGAGAATTGAAGGGCATAGATGTGTGCATGGGGGGAGCTTCTGAAACCCGAGTTTCATGTTAGTGTTGTCTGCCAGCCTCCTTTTTCCTGAAATAGAACTCTTGCTTTTAGTTTGATCCATTAACTCATAGAACCTGTTTACAGGTAGATGCCAGTAATGGAGGGAGGATGGTTAATTGATCTCATTGCCTTGTAACATGCACAGATTTTCAGATCACTCATGTAGTATGGCTCCTCATAATCACTGTGAGAGAACACAGGAGTGCATGTAATGACACTGAGTCAGCCAGTGCCTACTTAATGTGTCAGACACAAGTGTGTGTGTGTGTGTGTGTGTGTGTGATCTGCATCTCACATGTGTGCAGAGGACAGAAGAGACTGTTGAATTCCTAGGAGCTGGAGTTATAGGTGGTGTGGGAACTAACCTGAGAGCAGCAAGGGCTCCTAACTGCTGAGCCAACTTGCCAGCTCCACGCAGCGACTTTGGCAGCCAGTTTTCTTCTCTGTTTGGCTTGTTTGATACTACAGTTCACTGTGTTGTTGGTAGAAGTTGGGAGCCCTCTTAGGTAGATCATCAACAGAGAGAAGCCAGAACTGACACTTCAATCTATCTACTTAGATTAGCCAAGCACCTGGTGACCTGAGTGCTGGGAAGTGGCAGAGCTATCACCCAGGGTTGTCACCCCCACAAAAGTATGTTCAGGTTCAGTCTACCCTGGCTATAGAGCATTTTCATGTTGCTCAGTGTAAGTCTTAAATCTGATGAGTAACATCCAAGAGGCTCTTGGAGTCTGTACAAAACTTGGATTAAATATCCTACAGGATTGGATTATAAGTGAGTTTTAGCCAGTTGATGGAAGGAAGGCCTGCTGGTTAGAGATGGACTGGAGCGTCACTAACTGACCGTGTTCTGACTGTGCGCCCCATGATCAGAACCCAACTAACGCAGACGTGCTCAGAACATCCCTTGTACCCCTGCTGGTTCAGCTGCTGGCTGTCTTGCTTTGTTAAAGCTCCCCAGGGCTCTTCTCTTGGTAGCGTAATATAAAGGCCGTAGAAGCATGGACTTTGCTGTATAGTGTTGTCTCAGACCCCGCTGTAGAGAATGGCTTCATACTTAAAGTCTTGAGCCCCGTTTTAAAGGAAGACAGTGACCGTGTTTTGCCACACTCTGGTGCATCACAGTGTCCCATTGTGTCACCTTTAGGGAGTAGTTTCAGTTCAGTCTGTTGTAAAACCTTGTCTGATCGGCCAGCTCATTGTTAATTCTTGCTCTCCAGAAGGCTGATGGTGTGCCCATCCACCTGAAACGAGGCCTTCCCGACCAAATGCTTTACCGGACCACCATGGCGCTGACTATAGGAGGAACCATCTACTGCCTGATCGCCCTCTACATGGCTTCGCAGCCCAAAAACAAATAAATTAGCCTGCTGGGGACTGGTTTACTTTGTAGCACAAACCCTTTGAATTTTCAGTTTTCTGATTTTTTTTTTCCACTTGGGTGGTCTACTAACATTTTTGCAAACAAAGGAAAAGATAAGAACACAAGCGTTTCGGTTGTTTTTGAAATGCAGACGGCCTCTCAGACGTCAGAGCTCATTGGACAGTTAAAACTGTTGTTTGAGGGGTGACGCTGAGCCGTGTTTATGCTCCTGATTTCCCTGGAGGTTCTGGATGGAAGTGGCTCACTGCCTCATTAATGGCAGGCAGCCTGTGCTCAGGGCGTCTGGGACTAGGGCTGTGTCTAAGCAGGAATTCCAGAAGCCTTTCTGGGTTCAGGTGTGACTGAGGGAGGAAGACAGCAGCTGGAGAGGTCCTATGTGTGAAATGAGGGCTTCGAGTTAGCCTTCTGGGGGCTTTTTCCACCTTGCTGTGAAATGTTAGTAGAAGGTATTTGCAATCTGCCTGTTTGTTGGGCAGTTTGTTTCAAAGGGTTATTGCTGCACCCAGCTCCTTAGTGAAATGTTCTATGTCCATCATGGAAAAGAGAATACTTGTCGGTGTTGCACTTTAGACGGCTGGACCACAAATTCTTCAATAATGCTATGGCTTTAAGTCATGATTTATTTGACTGTGGAATAAATAAATGAACAATATTTTGTGTCTCACTCAGTTTTATTGACTGACCTGGAACACACTGTGTAGACCAGGCTGGCCTCAAATTCACTCTGCCTCCCAAGTGCTGGGATTAAAGGGGTGTGCTAGCTTGGGGTAAGATTCTGTTTAAGAAAGAGAAATGAAATAAAAACTAAACACATCTCCCTCAACAGCCTTAAGTGCTTATAAATCCTTGGGGGGGGGTGCAGCACCTCACAAGCCCCTCCTCACTTCCTTGATGAAAACCCAATGTACCCAGTCTTACATTTCCAGGGGGACAGGGGGCATCTCAGTTGCTGGGAGTTCAAGAGGACAGCACTCTTCAGACACCCTCCTCTGAAATCATGTTCTTTCTACACACTCTTGGACCAAAGCTGACAGAGCACCAGTCTGGGGCATTAACATATTTATAAAGCATTTCATAAACATATCCATTTAGTAAAACAAACCACAGCAGCTTCCTCATTAGTGTCTGTGATCTCCCCAGCCATGGGCTTTTGATTGAATTTAGAGTGACAGGTGAATTTCTGGTAGAGCAGCCCTCAATTCCAATGGGAAAGCAGTTGGTTACTCCTATGGGAGTCATGCCACTATTGCACCAGTAGGCACATCTTACCTGGCGGATTGAGCACTCAGGGCACCACTTCCCCAGTCACGTAGGGAAGGATTGTTGCTGTTGATTCTCCTCCAGCAGCCTGCATAGTGTCCTCTAAAGCTAGAGCTAGCCAGCAGAATGGAAGCTTCTAGCTCAGTCACAGCTTGCTTTTGCCGGATCCTGCAAACAAAGAGTTATCCTCACCAACAGGATCTTACCATCTAGTCCTGCTGGGCATAAACAGCAATAGCAATAATGTTTTGGAGGCCTCCTTGACCAACAGCTCATTGGGAGGTAACCTGTCCCCGACACTAGAATTTCCATTCAATAATCTATGACTTCTAGGAGCGTTGTTTTTTACCCACACACAGGATGTTGGAGGATTTTTTTTTTCTCTCATTAACCTTGTGTGTCATCTGTGCATTGCCAATCTTGAAGTGCCCAAGAATTTCACAGCTGTGCCCAGTCTTTGCATCAGGCCTTTAGCTATGCTTCTATGGCTCTCAAATGCTCTTCTAAGTCTGCAAACATGGAGAGGTTAGCATCCTATCAACCGAATGAAGCCTTTTGCAAAGGGTGGGCAGTATCACTGAAGGACCACTACCCACCTGCCATTTCAAGTACAGATTGCTCTCAGGAATCAACTAAAGGACTCCTAAAGAAAACTGTTCACAAGGTCCTATCGTTTTCTCAAAGGATCGGGGTTGAGTGTAGCATGGGTGGGAGGCATTCACCAGGCCTCTGCAGCCCAGTTATTTTTCAGACGTCCTGCTGTCTCATCCTGGGCTTTCGTGCATCTCCTCACCAACAGTTTTGGTGAAGCCAGGCTTGAGTCCTGTTGCTCTGACTTACCTAGGTCACCAGGGTGCATAGCTGTGCTCCCAAGTGCTGTACCTGATTGGAGTTGAGCTTCTGGGACCTGACCATCTCTGGACCCGAACATGGCAACCTGCTACCTCTCCATTGGCCACAGCTTCCTTTCTTAAGGGCACTGGGGTGGATGAACAATTGCCAGTATAATTAGTGCACAGCTTGCTTTCTAGGCATAACTGCCCACTCTTGTGACAAGCTTAACATTTTTTTTCTATTTTTGAAAACTTAGTTTTTTATTTCTGTACAAACAGCAAATCCTCCCCACTTTTTGACTTCCTTACCCAGTCTCCCTCATTCTCCCAGAGAATTATACACGGTGTTCAGGGATGAAGTGACCAGGAGGCCCTTGTCTCTCTACCCCCAGACTGAGCCCCAGCTCACACATTCATTGGCAGAATTAGACTTGAGGTAGGAGCAGCGCACACTATACAGCTTTGATTTCACTGCCAGGCAGGAACAAGAGTGTGTTCCTGTTACAGAATTTATTATTTATTTATATAAGTTTTTTGAGACAGGGTTTTCTGTGTAACAATCCTGGCCATCCTGGAACTAGCTCTCGTACACCAGGCTCACCTCGAATTCACGTGGAATAATCTGTTTATACACCGTGAAGATGTGTCTCTGCCAAGGTTCCTTCTGTTTGATTTAATAAAGAGTCAAATGGCCAATAGCTAGGCAGGAGAGACTAGGTGGGACTTCCAGGCAGAGTGAGGAAGAGGAGGTGAATCTAGATGCCAGGGGACACAGAGAGGAAACAGGAAGTGCAAAATGAGAGGTAAAAAGTCACAAGGCCAAACATAGATTAATATAAGTGGGTTAATTTAAGTCCTAAGAACTAGTGGAACAAGCCTAAACTATACGTTGGACTTTTATAATTTAAGTCTCTTTGTTGTTTTTTGTGAGCTGGTGGCCCAAAGAAAAATCCATCTACACATTCGTCTCCTGGGGAACCAAAGCAGATATTGTCTAGCCAGTAAATATGACAGGACCAAACTAATATTTCTGGGGCCAGAGTGTGGTGGTTTGAATAGGTATGGCCCCCATAAGACTTATGTGTTTGACTGCTCGACCCATAGAGAGTGGCAATATTAGGGGTGTGGCCTTATTGGAGTAGGTGTGGCCTTGAAGGAAGTGTGTCCCTGCAGGGGCAGGTTTTGAAATCTTGTGTTCAAGCCACACCCTGTACACAATTCTTTCTTCTGCTGCCTGTGGATCGAGATGTAGAACACTCAGCCCCATCTCCAGCGCCATGTCTGCCTGCAGAGCACAGTGTCCTGCTGTAGTGATAATAGACTAAACCTCTGTAGTTAAGCCCTAGTCACATGTTTTTCTTTCTACTCACTGGGCAGTGACGGTGCATCGGGAGGCAGAGGCAGGTGGAGCTCTGTGCGTTTGAGGCCAGCCTGGTCTACAAAGTGAGTTCAAGGACAGCCAGAGCTGTTACACAGAGAAACCCTGTTTGGCCGAGGGCGGAGGTGAGTTGCTGTAGGCACGGTGTCTCTTCGCAGCAACAGAACACTGACAAGTGGGCTTGAACAGCTGCTGTGTGACCACAGAGTCCTGGGTTTTGGATCACTCTGCCCAGCTCCCTGTCCATGGCCTGGCCTGTGCTGTCAATCATCTGCCACTGCGGGATGGAGGCGCTTGCTATCAGGCCCTTCCAGTCCAGTATTGCCATGGAAAAAACCAGCAAGTGCAGGCACCAGTTGGCCATGTCCATCTCAGAAAAGATGGGACTTCGGAAGGGCAACCCTACAGTAGAACAAAAAAATCTGGGGGGCTGTGCAGGAAAATTTGAGTGGAGGTGAAAGATACCTCGAGACAAGAAAGCCTTTGGCCTGGTGTCCTCAAATCTTGTCAACTGAAGTTAACACAAATCATCCCTTCCAGGGGAGAGATGGTCACGTAGCAGATGGAACCGGCTTCAAAGGACTGGTTCCAGTCAAAAGCACCCCGATCAGTTGTTCAGAGACCACCCAAAGACCATTTGGTGACGTTTGGGCGTGTGGTCCCGGGGTCCCCAGAAAGTATCGGGCTGTGCCTGCATAAGCAACGGAAGCAGTGGGCACAAATCTAGTTTGTTTTCTCTGCACCGCTGTGTCAAATCTTCTTACCCTCTGCCCAGCCTTCCGGGGCTCACAGACACCCAATTCGGCTTCCACTACCTAGAGACCCACATCCTACTCTGATATTACCACATCGCTTTCACGTGCCTCTGACAAGCCTCACCTTTGCCTGCCTTTTTTATTTCTCACACCCTCTTGATTGTTTCTGCACTTCACAGGCCTGATCTACAGGCCAGTTTAAACCAGCCAAACTGCAGAGTCAATTTTACACCTTGGAATGACCGTGTCCCGCCATGGGGCTCAGCAAAAGCTGCCAAAGTCTTCTACCAATGCCCATATCCCTGCTGAATCAACTTTTTACAGATGTGGGGGTGGGGCGGGAGCTATATATACTTGTGTGTGCGTGTTTGTGTATGTGCATGTTTGTGTGTGTGCGTGTTTGTGTGTGTGCATGTGCATTTGTGGGTGCCTGTGGAGACCAGGGGACAGCCTCAGAGCCTGCTGAGTAGAATAGGCTAGCCGGGCAGAAAGCCACAGAAACCCACCTTTCTCAACCTTCCCACATGCCACCATGCCTGGCTTTCTGGAGTTCAAACTGATGTCTTTGTGCTTGCAAAGCAAGCTGTTTACTGATTGAGCTATGTCTGCAGTCCCAAACTCAATTCCGTCTTAAGTCCTGTGAACACAGTGCTATTTGGCCCGAGGATCTGGGCACCAAAACTGCCTCTTTGATGCCTCGTTCTTAGTAATTCTAGTCCTTTTCTGCCTTCCAGGGCATGAAATTAACGGGGCTCTCAGCCAGAGCTAACCAACTGTCCCTAATGGCCTGCAGGAATCAACCCATTAGGGACTGAGTTCCCTGATTTCCTTACATTAACTGCCAATTTATCCCCAGGGAGGGGACTCACGAGCCCCCTTCTGGCAACTGTTGGCTGCCTAGAAATCACAAGGAAGGGGCAGAGTCTCATGAGCACCCCGTCCCTGCATGATGGGACATTAATAGGTCTTACTTTTAGGAGTCCAAGAGGGCGTGTTGTTCATGACTACTACCCTCTGAGCCAAACAACCACCATCGTGGGGTATTCAGCTGCTCCCACTCAACAAAAGGATTATTCCAGCTGGGCTTGTGGACTGTTCACCTCCCTTCCTGGAAGGGTGGGGAGGGTTACAGGACTATCACCTAAGTACCCAGCCTCTCCCTTCACCTGGTGGAGGCAAATCGGCCTTAATCCCACATGGCCAAGGGGAGGGGCTAGAGCATTTAGGCTCTGGAGGCCCGGGGAGAAGTTCTGTCTGTGTAGGTATGGGAAAGCGCTCATCCCTGCTAGGCCAAAGCTTTCCCGAAACAGCATTGTTGGAAAGAAACACTCAAACTATGTACGGAGCCCCTCACCTACACATTCATTGGTCCCCCAGAGTGGACTCGGGTGGAATTCTGCATCCTTGGGAGGAGGAGTGGAAACTG